ACTCGATCGGCAAGTCAAGAAACAACCAAAAAAAAAAAACAAACCCAACTTCGAAGAGCGATCTACTCCAAGTTTTAATGCAAGAGTGGGCGAAAATCTCACAATCTAAAATTGATGAGATGATTCTCACGATGCCCCAAAAGATCAACGAAGCGAAAGGAAGATCTACTAGATATTAATTAAATTATAAATATATCAATTCATGTGAATATGACTGAAAAAAATCATTTTATTCTGAAAAGGTGGTGTCTATTTACTTGTGACCACGCTGTGTACATATAACAGTTTTTTAAATGAATAAAAAGTGTTGAAAATTTGCATTTTTTCATATTGTCCTAGTTATAAGTAAATAATTTGCTAATATTGCTTACAGCTGTTTTGTGTTAAATAAATAAAATTAAAAAAAAAACAGGTCATATTTAATATAGTTGTGCAGCCTGACCTGGAAGAAAACGGAATTTTAATCTCTTATTTCACATTCAGCACTTATTATGTCTTAATGTCTTGTTAGTTAGATAATGGAAGGGTCAAGGGGGAACCATTGTTGGGCTGTGGTTAAGGCATCAGTTGGCCTTAATCCGGCCCTGCTCACAAAGATGTATCTTTATTCAGGTGGTTTATAAAAACTTTTCGTTCAGATATTCTGCCCTTAATTGATGTTCTTGTGAACAATATATAGGTAGTCGTGAACTTACATACTACAGTGGCCATTTCATAGAGCTTATATTTACTCAGGTATACTTCTTTGATGTATGGGTTTAAAACGTAACTTTTATAGTCAAGCCCAACTGACTAAAAGTTCTCTTTGGCAGTGACTTTTGAGAATTTAAAAGATACACCTGAAATTGTCTCCCGGTGGGACAGGGGTAAGTCTACGGATTTGCAACCCTACAATCAGGGGGTTCGATTCCCTTCGGTGGACACAACAGATAGTCCGATGTGGCTTTGCTATAAAACACAAACAAACACCGGAAATGCTATTTTTACAATCTTCTGATTTTGAATAAGAAATGGACAAATTAAGAGGAATGTGGAGGAACACAATCTCAGCAATTAATGTTAGTTTTTAACACACATTTTAGGTCTATTACTATTAGTTTTTAATGCTTCACCAACTTTCGACATTTAAATTCGAATCTTTAAAAGTAATATTATATTTAATTTGCTTTTTTTTCTGGAAGGTAGCGCGAAGTACTGAGTTCTTAGTGTTCGAGCTTTAGGAGTAGTAAGGGTGAGGTTTAATATTAATCATTTTGTGTTACATTCCCAGTTCAACTAATTATTTATGTAATGTATATTTTTAGTTTTACTCGCATTTTAAAAGTGAATTCTTATGCATTTCAGTTATTATGGATTTTACATTTTTCAATAGTGTCCAAAAGTTCATCATTTTATCCTAAACTTTTGGTAATTTCATTCGATGGATTTCGACATGATTATCTAGATCTCGTTGCAACACCAAATTTGCATCGCTTGGTGAGAGAAGGCGTTCATGCTCCTTGGATGAAAAATGCTTTCATAACAAAAACATTGCCAAATCATTATACAATTTTAACTGGATTATACGAAGAATCTCATGGTATTGTTGGGAATGAAATGTATGATCCTTTACTTAATGCAACTTTTGATTTAAACAAAGATATGACAAACTCCAAGTGGTGGGATAATGGGCAAATTACACCAGTTTGGGTAAGTGAAAGTTTTTATTTTAGGTTTCATTGTAATAAAGATAAAATAAAATGTGAAGAATAATTCATTTAAGTTTTTGTTATAAACAGTTGTATTTCGGGATAACTTTTGTTGTTGTTGAATTAAAGCTGCATATTTATTAACATCACAACAACAAGTTACTAAAATTTCCATCAAATAAAGTTAGTAATTGTTAGCAACTAAGTTCATAACATTTCAGGGACAATTTATTGATCCCTCCTTTATCTACATCATCGATGTAATTCAAAAATATGAAAAGTCCCAACACTGGGCACTGTGGTACCCCACTTTTTACATTAAATAATGCAATTTGACCACATTCCATTTATAACAATCCTCTACTTTCTTCCCTCCAATCGTTTTTGAGCTAATTTGTGCATCACATGCACAAGGATAATTTTTTAAAAAGCCTCTTATGTGATACCCTGTCAAGTGCATTCTGAAAATCTAAATATATCAATTCACACTTTTATCATTGTCAACATAAGCCAGTGATCTAGATAAGATATGTATCCATGTAAGTACATATGCATTAAAAGTAAAAATTGTATAAGCAGGTACGTATATTATTCATGTACGTGTGTGCATTTGTCAAGTTTGAAAGAAACAAAAACCTATATCTGTAATAAAACAAACACAAAGCACAGGAGATCATCCTAACCATAAACTGATTGACAAGTTATACAGTGTATACAGGTAGGCAATTACCGTAGTTTTTGGCTATGTTTGAATTGAAAACTATATTAATCTAATTTTATCAATCAATGTCAACAAAGTGTTTAGTGTATTGGATTTATGCTGTAATTGCTCTGGTTGATACTAGCATGGAGTTAGTTACTTATTCCCTGTTTGACATTTGAATATCAAATAGGTAACTTATTACCTATTCAATACTCAAACATATCTGTATGTGCAGTGGTGTACATATGCCTGAAAGTGAGAGTCCTCCAGGGGGGCACGATGTTCTGACAAATAAACTAATTTTATCCCGACCCATTATAATTTCTGGATACCACAAGATCAGTTCATTAGATGCATTTCCCATACACACAAAAATGTTAAATATGCCATACACCAATAAGTATTCTTTTTAATGATGTTTTTGAAGGTTTAAGATCACATGGACCACCATAAATTTAGACTCTTTGTGTACCCAGAGACATGTACAATACAAATGTTTGTTACAAATATACTGCTTCAATTTTGGCACATGTAGTTTCTGGATACCATATAACCCAATTATGAGACGTATTTTGCATATATTAATTACATCATAGACCAAAACATATGGTTTTATATGGTGTTACATCATAGACCAAAATGTTTGGTATTAGATGGTATTTTTGAAGACATAAAAAACCCCATGAACCACCATAAATTTGGGCAACCCAAAATATATCTGTTGTGGTTTTAGGGTATCAGTATCGCCATTAAGTTATTAACCATAAATGGTGCCTGGATATTTATCCAGAAAACTGAACAATTAATGCAATTTTATCCTCAGAATGGTCCTTGTGATGTGAAGATGTTAAATACCCCTTTATTGGATGTGTATTCCCCCCCCCTCATAAACAGCAGTATGCACAGGGTTGTGAGTTCATTGCATATCTCTGTGAACACCTGGAACAAGAATACACTGTGTTTATTGGAATTTTTTTCTCAAGTATCTAGCAATATACTATTGTTTTAACTCACAAAAATATTAAGTTTATTTATTCCAGGAAATACAAAATGTAGATGCTATAAAACTACATATCTGGTGTCAACAATATGAATACTTTCTAAGGGTGTGTATCTCATCATAGTAGTCAATATGATATGTATCTAGATATTGATGCTGTGACAACTACGTATCTAGATACAGAAGTTTTACCAACAGTTTCTTACAAAGTTTGAAATTCTTGTCTGTAACTTATTACTGATATTACTAACATTGTCTTATTTAAGTATTTCACACCTTTAATATTTTAAGTCAGTGATAAATAGTGAATTTTGATATTGGAATAATAATGATACATCACTGTATATTATAGTACTTGAAAATGAAAACTTCTACTCTGTAAGCCAGAACAAATTACTTTCCATGTACACATACTCTATAATCTGAACATCTAATATTTAGAATAAACTGAACAACCCATAACCCATTGAGTCACCCACTATTCACAAGTTATGAAGAATTCAAGCTAATTTCAATCTTGCACCGAAATGAAGGTTTATTTTGAGATAATTTAATTAAATATTTCAATCCATCCATGTTTTTCATAATTCAAGAAAATATATTTGATTGTTGATCGGGAGTAAAAGGAAAGACCATTTCATTTTTCAAAAAAGTGAAGTCAGAGTTTTCAGGTATTGTGATGAATTAGTTCATTATGTTGTCGTCTTTCCTTTTAAACCTTCTACAAATAAGAAACAGTAACACTTTATTTTCTTTGAATTACCTACCATAACCAAGGCACATTATTGAGAAATTCTTCAAGATCTTGTTTTCGTCATTTTACACCTTTTAATGAAGATGGGAACATTGACAGGGAAATAATATAATAGCCAATGCTTTGCAAGAAGTTTTCGTTTATAAAATTTTGTTGTTGTTCTCGACTTGATTTTTATTTTATTACCTCATCTCCATAGTTACTATTTGCAAATAGTCAATAATATTGTAGGTCCATTTTATTGTTGTTCTTTGTACGTGCAGTTATAACATATTTTCATCTCATCATTTAATTTCTATTGTTGTATAGAAGATATTTTAAAGTGATTCATCAGGCGGAAAATGAATAGATAGATAAACCGGTATCTAGTGTACTAAAATTCATCTATAAATTTTCATAAAAGTGACCCGAAAAATGGGGCTAAACTCGATAACCCATGGCCCAATTTTAACGAAACTTGTTTTATTCTGTTTCTATTCCCATTTCATTACAAATATGGCACTATATTGTGCTGTTTTTAATTACAGACAAGCAAACAAACAATCTCAGAGTTTTAGTAATATATAGATGAAGGAGAAAACACTGCTTTTATGTTTGTCTACATTTTAAGCTGCTTCTGAACTTTTCCAGGGAATACCCTAGTTAGCTTTTTTACAATTGGACTTGAAGAAAATGGTGTGACATAATCAAATCTACAGGTAATAGCAATTCATTAGCATGTGATATTCATTTATCTCCCATAATACATCTCAGTGCCTTCCTGCAATGACATTGGGCTCCTCTGAGATCTAAGCAAAGCCTCTTTCACTTTCTTCTGTGCCTCCAAGCTATCAACAAATCATCTAAGTATCTGACCATTATTGGTGGTAGTAGGAACTATAGACAAATTGTTCTGCAGCAAGTATGTCTGTGTGGTTTGTATCTCAGTTTCACTTGCCATCTGCTCCACTTTTAAAAAGTGAAGAATGGAGTGCGCCCCTTTTAAACCAATGACTACCGGCTACTAACTTTCCTAGTAGGCAATGCAAGTCTTGCTATATTTCATTCCAACAATAAAACTAGTGGACGAATATTTTCGAAAATTCATAAATACTTTGACAAATGTAGGTAGTTTAAGAAACATAAAGCCTATTACTTTTAATAAATTTAGTTTATTTGCATTATGATCTTTAATATCTTGGAAAATTACTTTAGAAAATCGTAT